ATCTAAACAGACCAATATCAATTGAGGAAATAGAAGAAGCCATCAAAATACTACCATCCAAGAAAAGCCCAGGACCGGATGGGTATACAGCAGAGTTTTACAAAACCTTTAAAGAAGAACTAATACTAATACTTTTCAAGCTGTTTCAGGAAATAGAAAAAGAGGGAGTACTTCCAGATTCATTTTACAAGGCCAACATCACCCTGATTCCTAAACCAGACAAAGACACTTCAAAGAAAGAAAACTACAGACCAATATCTCTAAATAACATAGATGCAAATATCCTCAATAAAATTCTGGCAAATCTGATACAAAAACATATCAAACAGATTGTGCACTATGATCAAGTAGGATTCATCCCTGGGATGCAAGGCTGGTTCAATATATGGAAATCAATAAATGTAATTCACCACATCAATAGACTTAAAGATAAGAACCATATGATCATCTCGATAGACGCAAAAAAAGCATTTGATAAAATACAGCAACCCTTTATGTTCAAAACACTAGAAAAACTAGGGATAACAGGAACTCACCTCAACATTGTAAAAGCTATCTATGCTAAGCCTCAGGCTAGCATCATTCTAAATGGAGAAAACTTGAAGGCATTCCTTCTAAAATCTGGAACAAAACTCTTAATAATAAAATGAGAAATTGAATTGTAGTACTTACTGTGGTGAATATTATGTATCAAAAGGAAAGTGTGTATGAAATGTACAAATGTACAAATGCAGTGCAAATGTAGAGGGTATACAAAATTAAAAATAGGATATGGTATATATAGTTTATGGCATATATAATTTCTGACATTTTAATGATAATAACTAATATTTTAATGTGCCCTTTACTATATGCACAGTACTATTCTGTTTTGCCTACATGTTAATTCATTTAATCCTCCTGACAACCTCTGCAGTAGGTGCTATTATTACCCCCTCTTAACAGATGAGGGCACAGCTGTGCTATGGTTGAATGCAAGCTCAAGTGCATAGCTGGCTGGAGGGGGCCCAGGCAGCATGCTCCACACTGTCCATTCATGTATTACACAGACTGCCTCTATTGTATTGAGTCATCAAATATTGAGGGCTCATTCTATGTCAGGCAGTGTTACCCTTTGGAACCCCAGAACCCTACAAACATGGTGATAGCTCATAAGAATCCTTATTCTAGTAATAGAAGAAAGTGGAGGTAATTATACAATACATGCCATGCAGATCATTAAAACAGGCTAAGTTGTAAAGACTGAAGTGATTTCTGTGGTGTGTTCTGTCAGAAAGGTCTTTCTGAGAGGTCACTGTAGGAGGAACTATCCAATGGCAGGAACCAGCTAAGTAGTGATTAGGGCAAGTGGTTGCAGCAGAAGGAACAGCTGATGAGTCTCCTATGGTTGGACAACAACCAGGAGACAATGTGCACAAAGCTGATCCAGGTATGATGTTCCTATGGCTATGCTGCAGATGATTCATATTCATTATGACCAGAATCCAGTTCTTCATTGTTCCTTTCTGGGATGGCCCTTTCTCTGGACTCCATCTCCAAGAAAGACACCCACTGCAGATCCTAAATCTTTCACATTAATTCTCTCTCTCTCTCTCTCTCTCTCTCTCTCTCTCTCTCTCTCTCTCTCTCGCACACACACACACACACACACACACCAGAATAATCTATACCACTTATTTCCCATTCGTAGTTATAGTCATTGCCTCTTAACTGGCCTTCCTTCTTACCTCTTCTAGTTTGTTCTCTGTATTCCAGCTAAAGTGATCTTCCAAAAACATCACATTACTTCTTCTCCAGCTCTACAAAGAACACTCATTGCCGTTAGGATAAACCTGAACCACAGGTACACAAGATGTATCAGGTATGTCCCTACACATTCTTCTAGGCCAGGGTTTGGCCTAGAAGAATGTGCAGGGACATACATGGAACACCCTTGTGTACCACAAGCAGTTATGGCTTGTGGTCCAAGTCAGCCCTTCTACCTTGTTTTATATAGCCTATAAATTATGAGTTATGTTTACAATGTTAATAACTAAAAAACATTAAATAATATTTCATAACACATGGAAATTATATGAAATATGAATTTAAGTGTCCATAGTAAAGTTTACTGGAACACAGTACACTCATTTGATTATTTATGATCAGCAACTACTTTCATAGTACAGGCACAGTACAATAATTGTGACAGATTATATGTTACTTGGCCCTGAAATATATACTCCATGGCCTTCTATGGAATAAGTTTGCTGAGCTGTCTCTGTACTGTAGTCACCTCTCCTTCTGACTCTAGCCTTTAGTCTTCTCCATCCCTAACCTACAGTGCTCTCCCATTTGTTGGCTTTTGCACAAACGGTTCTTTTTCCGGAACTCTACCCTAACATATCATCTTTCACTTGTTCATTCATCTAAAAGATCCCAGCTCCAGCTTCATTTCCTGAAGGAAACTGTCTTAGTATGCTACAGTTTGTGTGAGGCACCTCTCTCTTTTCTCTTGTTCTTCTCACATCCAGGTTCTTGCTTCCTACCCAAGTCAAGCTCCATGGTCAGTCATAGCCACAACCTCTTTGCTGTGTACTCACCTCCTTTGTTCCTTGCTCCTTCCAGTGTTCCCATAGAACTCCAACTCTATCACCCAGACCCAAAGCAGTGGATGTATAGCCCTAATCTATAGACTTTAGAGTCTCAGGCTCCTCGACTGCTCTAGAGTCCTGTGCCTTACACTTTCATCATTCTCTGTCCTTGAGGCCACACTGGATTCATAACCATCCCAGTACCCTTCACCCTCTAATTATCTTGCTTACTATTTCACGTGGAAAACGAGAAGCAGCCAGAAGTTCTCTTCCTCATTATCATCTCAAGAGTTCTGTCAGCCTTACTGCCTCAACTTATCACATTCCCAATGGAATGTCCCATGTCCCTTCATAAGACCAGCTTATCCTTTTGTGGTGATCTCTGTTGTATTTATAAGGACCTCCTCTAGCCATTCTTCCCCTCTCCTGTCCTAACATTTGCCTCTTCTAAATTATTCCCATAACCATACAAAAATAGCATATACTACTTATCTTTAAGAAATACTAACAGCCCCTTCTTGACTCCAGAGCCTCATTTTCTGCTCTTGCCACAGTCATTCCCTTGTTATTTGTTAAATGCTATAAGCATGCTCCTGCCAGAGTCATCTTACATGCTGCTCTCCTAGTCTGCAATGATTTCTTCCACATAATTTGCCTAGTTCCCTCCTCATGTCAGTCAGGTTCCTGCTCAAAGTTTACCTCCTCAGAGAAGCCTTTTATGACAATTATGTAAGAAAGGCTTTTCTTCTGTCATTGTTACTTCTTGTCCTGGCAAGTATTGCCACCAGAATATATATGTATTTATTTGCTAATTTTTCCACAAAGCCCTGATTTTACATTACTTTCTGTACTTGGAATTCAGCAGTGACAACTTCATTTTTTTTTTATTGTTGGTAGTTCAAAACATTACACAGTTCTTAATATATCATATTTCACAGTTTGATTCAAGTGGGTTATGAACTCCCATTTTTACCCCGTGTACAGATTGCTGTATCACATCAGTTACACTTCCATTGATTTACATATTGCCATTCTAGTGTCTGATGTGTTCTGCTGTCTATCCTATTCTCTACTATCCCCCCTCCCCTCCCCTCCCCTCTCCTCCCCTCTTCTCTCTCTACCCCCTCTACTGTAAATCATTTCTTCCACTTGTATTATTCTTCTCACCCCTCCTTTCCTCTTATATGTAATTTTGTATAACCCTGAGGATCAACTTCCATTTTCATGCAATTTCCCTTCTCTCTCCCTTTCCCTCCCACCTCTCATCCCTGTTTAATGTTAATCTTCTTCTCTAGCTCTTCGTCCCTACCCTGTCCTTAGTTACTCCCCTTATATCAATGAAGTCATTTGGCATTTGACAACTTCATTTTGAATTTGGTTTCCCTCATGGTGGAAAAGACTCAGCATTTCCAAGCTTTGTATCTGCATCCTGCATGAGGGATTGGCAAACTTTTCTGTAAAGAACCAGATAGGAAATATTTCTACTCAACTGCAACACTGTAAATTAAATAACTTACAAAAGCAGACAGCAGTCCAGAGTCAGCCCAAGGCCATAGTTTGCTGACCCTTGCCTTATACCATCCAAAAAGAACAAGTGAATTTTCTAGTAGTTCTCTAGGAAGAATAAAGAGGCTTTGTTTTCTGAAGTCCCCAACAACCCTCCTTTTTAGCTTGTTGGCCTGAATTTTGTCTAATACCTAATGGTGAACTCTTCCCTAAAGTAAGTAGAATGAGATTTTCTCATTGGTGTAAAGTACTCAGGGCTTACTCAGAAACTACCAGGTGACAGGAGTTTCCCAAAGTTCATGGGATGCATGGGGCCAGGTAATTACCAGAACAAAACTGTATTATCAAGAGGGGGCCTGAGGGCTGGGGATGTGGCTCAAGCGGTAGTGGGCTCGCCTGGCATGCGTGCGGCCCGGGTTCGATCCTCAGCACCACATACCAACAAAGATGTTGTGTCCGCCAACTAAAAAATAAATATTAAAAATTCTTTCTCTCTCTCCTCTCTCACTCTCTCTTTAAAAAAAAAAAAAAAGAGAGGGCCTGAGAAATGTGTACTGGGGAGGCACCCAAATAAGGTATTTGTATGGTTAATCATGGTGCATTGCAGTATAAGTTTGTGCAATTCTTTTCCTCCTAGAATGTATGCCCCTTGAGGTCAGGACTGCACTATTTGATTATTAGTTACCAGCTTGCACCTTGTATAGAGCTCAAACACTTTCATCACTTGCAAGTGGTAAAAATCCTTGGCTCACACAGATTACTATATTTTTGGTTTTTGTACGAAGTTAATAACAAAAATCCTTTGTCATTCATATAAATAATAGGAAAAAAGTATACTTTGGAAAAGAACTTGATTCGTTATTAATTAAAACTTCTAGTTCTCGAGGAATTAAATTGACTTTTTTCTTTTTTTAACTTAAGGTTCACAAAAAGGATTCTGGTTTTTGGAGAGATTTTGGCTTTGGAATGACTTGTCAATATCGATCAGATTTTCTGACCATTGGTAAGTTTATCTTACATTTAAGGATGGGACTTTACATATTTACTATAGACCTTATGGTGTTTTTCAAAAATATATCATACTTGAGTGTTTTTCTTTCTTTTTTTTCGGGGGGGGGGGGGAGCCAGGTTACTGGGGATTGAACTCAGGGGCACTCAACCACTGTCTCAGCTTCCCAAGCCGCTGGGAATAAGTGTTTTTCTTTTAAATCATGTGTGTCTCAGGTTATATTTAGAAATGTAAAAGAAAGTGAGTTTATAATTAATGTCTTTGACAAGCAGAGATAAAGATAAAAGTGTAATGTTTACTAATTCCTTTGAAATCAAAACACCACTAGTTTTTTAAAACACCTATTTGGCTTGTTGCCTAAATTGTAGTTGATTGCAGTACTCTTACAAAAGGTCTCTCTATAACCTACTGTAGTATTCCTGGGTTGTTACAGCTGCAAGTAGTCTTAGGTTATCTAGTTTAAGGATTTTCATATGTTTTCACTTAAAGATGAAGTTCTTTTTTGTCTATTGAACTTTTATGCAAAATTCCATTGTTTAGGAAAAGAGAGATTTTCTTTCTAGCCTGATTGAAGTGGGAGTCAGCGGCTTAGTTGTTCATCCCATAAGCTCAAAGATGTGGTGAAGAATCTGATCTAGCCAGGTGTGTTGGTGCATGCCTGTTATCCCAGTGGCTCAAGAGGCTGAGGCAGGAGAATCATGAGTTCAAAGCCAGCCTTAGCAAAAGCAAGGCACTAAGCAACTTAGTGAGACCCTGTCTCTAATAAAATACAAAAAAGGGCTGGGGATGTGGTTCAGTGGTTAAGTGCCCCTTGGTCAATCCCTGATACCAAAAGATAAAAATAAAAAGTGTCAGAGAATTGTTCAGCAAAGCATGCTGACCTGAATTCCATGTCTCCTGATTCATTTAGTGATTCCCTTGCCACATCATAGTAGAAGTCATATGGAATTAGAATGTACATAAGACATATTACATTTATTTTTAAAATTAACCATTTGTTTTAGAAATCCCTCCATGTTGTCTCTTTATAGGAAATAATGATAAAAAGACTCTTAAATGAAACTAATGCTCTTTTCCCTGATTTCTTGTTTAATATAACTTTAAGCATTCACTTTCAAAAACAGAAATACTAATCTATCTTAAAATTCTCTGATTCTGTTTTTAGTTCAGATATACTGTTGTATTATTCTAATGGTTTTCTCATTTCAGTTATTTTATTTTATTTTTATTTTTTTTTTAAAGAGAGTGAGAAATAGAGCGGCAGAGAGAGAGAGAATTTTTAATATTTATTTTTTAGTTTTCGGCAGACACAACATCTTTGTTTGTATGTGGTTCTGAGGATCGAACCCGGGCCGCACGCATGCCAGGCGAGCGCGCTACCGCTTGAGCCACATCCCCAGCCCCATTTCAGTTATTTTAACTCCAGAACTTCTATTTGGTTATTCTATTTGGTTATTTTTCTATAGATGTAATTTCTCTTCAAATAATATGCTGTATTTAATGAGATATTGTTATCTTACATTCTTATACTTCTTTAGGCATGAATTCTTTTAATACTTTGAATATATTTATAATGGCAACTTTGGAATTTTTGTCTGTTAAAGCCTACATCTGGGCCCTATCATAGGGCCCTACATTTTTTTATGCTTTTGTAATTTTTTTCTTAAACTGGACATTTTGGCAATATATTGTGGCAACTCTAGATACTGATTCCCCTATTTCCATGGCTTGTTTTTCCTTTTTCTTATTTATTTATTGACTTGACAGGACTATTTAGTGAATTTTCCTACCTCTACCCTAACTCCCCATCAATATGAAGCTTCTGATGTCCCTCCTCAGGACGTGTGCACAATCTTCTGAGGTGGCACTAGATTTAGCAGGCCTCTGTTTAACTCTTTCCATGCCCTTGTTGGTATTATTCTCAACTGTTAGGAATCACTGATTGCTCACTAATTGCTATCTTGTTTGTGACAATATTCGAATGCACTGATTGTTCCGCAATCTGAACCAATTAAATTAGGCTTTTTTTCAGGGGTAGTTTTTGAGACAAGTGTTTGGATCCCAGAAGGGATGTTCTTCCTGTCTCTGCCCTCATTCTCTCTAAAACTGGCCTACACAGTTCAGGTTTTGCCCTCATGAAGTTACCAGCCTCTTAAGTGCTTAAAACCAAAATCTCCATTATTTTCAAGAATCCCTTTAGACTTGAATTTTTCTATGCCATGTTTCAAATTAAGTCACATTCTTTTGAGCAGTTTATTCTTGGGGACTGTCTTTTCCCTTAGGAAAAATTTCTGAGCAGCTGTTCTGGAGCTGAGAATGGAAACAGTAGCACACTTCTCATAAAGCAGAGGTGTTCCCTTAACACCTCTGCTTTATGAGAAAGTTGCTGGATAGGGGCAGTAAAGCCCCCAATATTTTCTGTCTGCGTTGTCTGGAGTAGAGCTTCCATACTAAGTGTGGACTGGTGAAAAGGGAGTTTCCCATTTGGAATTTTGCCTCTTTTATTTGGATCTTCTCTTTTCTTCATTTCTTCTATTATTAGTATTCCCATTATGTATATGTTATACCTTTTGTAGTTGTCCCACAGTTTTTGGATATTCTGTTCTTTTTTTTTAACATTTTTTCTCTTTGCTTTTCAGTTTTAGAAGTTTCTTTTGTATCCTCAAGGACAGAGATCCTTTCTTCAACCAAATCTAGTTTACCAATGAGCCCATCAAAGGCATCCTTCATTTCTGTTACAATGTTTGTGATCTGAAGCATTCCTTTTGAATACCTTCTTAGAATTTCCATTTTGCTTGTATTACCCACCACACATGTTATCTACATTTTCCATTTGATCCCTTAACATATTAATCATAGTTGTTTTAAATCCCCAACCTGATAATTCCAATATCCCTGCTGTATCTGAATCTGGGTCTGATTATTACATTCTCTTCAAATTATTTTTTTCCTTTTAGGATGCTTGTGTTTTGCTGTTGTTGTTATTGTTGTTGAAAGCTGGGCTTTATGTACTGGATAAAAACAACTGCAATAAGTAGGCCTTTGTGATGTGGTGATGAAGTGTGGAGGGTGGAATGTTATTCTATAGCACTATGATTAGGTCTCAGTGTTTTAGTGAGCTTGTGCCTCTGGATTGTGAACTTCACATATCCTTTTCAATCCCTTTTCTCTTCAAAGACAGGATGGCTAGAGGGACTAAAATTGATTATTTCCTTCACCCAAGTCATTTAGACTGGGATTAAATAGTTTCTCCTGAGGTCTTGCCTTTTTAATAAGAACAGAATGCTCTGGCATATTTCAAAATGGTTACCTTTGCCTCCCTCCCCTTGTCAGAAACATGAGAGGATCTTTCTCTGATCTTCAGTATGAGAACATGGTAGAGCTTCTAAAGGTAAAACTCTCAAGTGTGGGGATCCCAGTATCACTGGGGCCCCCCGGAATTTTTAACTCTCAGATATGTTTACACTGAGCCTCTAGCAATTTGGCAATTATTGGTTTTTCTCCTCTGTTCTGTCTCCTGCAGAGATTTCTTCTCTAGTAACCTGTGATCCATTTTATCTACCTATCAGTCTCTCTAAAAAATTGGGGGGGGGGGCAGAATTTCACCCAATGACCTCATTTCTATGAGTGATCTAAAAGGAATTGTTGATTTTTCAGTTTGTTCAGCTCTTTGTTAGGACCAAGTGATGATTTCTAGTCTCCTGAAATGCCAAACCAAAAACCAGGAGTTCCCTGTTTATATTTATGTATCTGCATCATTGTATTTGAAGAGCTTATTCATAGCTGTAAGGAAGAAAAGCTGAGATATAATCAGACATAGCATTTTGTAAAGCTATAACTGTTTAAAGCAATCCTTTAGAGTTTTCATGACTATTGTCTATCCTGCAAATGTTAAATTAAGTAGGATATAATTATTTGGAAGGAGACACAATTTAGAAACTTAGCCCTTATAGAATTTTTCTCAGCTTTTAAGATATTGTTTTCTTTTTTTTTTAATTTTTTTTTTAATATTTATTTTTTAGTCCTCGGCGGACACAACATCTTTGTTTGTATGTGGTGCTGAGGATCGAACCCGGGCCACACGCATGCCAGGCGAGCGCGATACCGCTTGAGCCACATCCCCAGCCCAAGATATTGTTTTCTTACTCTTTAAAAACTCCAAGTAGTTTGTGTTATACATGCTTCTTTTAAAAGTTGTTCAGCTTGAAATCAGTTTAAAAATAATCTCAATTCTATTTCCCATGTCATTGTCAGTCCACTATAGTTAGCCTCTACTTCGTAGTTCCATCAGAATTATTCTAGGCAAGGTTATAAATAGCACTTATGCTGCCAAGTATATTGATTCTTTTTCAGTTCTTAATTGAGTAGCACACCTGCCAGCTTCTTCCTTGAGGCACTTTCTTATTTTTTTCTATTTATTACAAGGTGTGTTTTTTTTATTTGTTCTTTTTAGTTATACATGGCAGTAGAATGTATTTTGATATATCATACATACATGGAGTATAACTTCCCATTCTTGTGGTTATAAATGATGTAGAGTTACACTGGTCATATATTTATATATGAACGTGGGAAAGTTATGTCCAATACATTCTACTATATTTCCCATTCCCATCCTCCTTTTGCTTCTCCCCATCCCACCCTGTCCAATCCAGTGAACTTCCACCTCTTCCCTCCTTCATCTGTTTTGTGAGTCAGCACCCGAATATCAGAGAGAACATTCAGCTATTGGTTTAGGGAGATTGGCTTATTTCACTTAGCATGGTAGGGTTCCATCCATGCTCCGGCAAATGCCATAATTTCCATTTCTCTTATGGTGAGTTGTATTCCATTGTGTATACATACCACATTTTCTTTAACAAACTGCTGGGATTATAGGTGTGCACCACTGCTTCCGGCTTAGAAATTGGTATTTCTTAGTGTTTAGACGTTGGCCCTATTTTTCTTATGAATTTCTTCAATAATTTTATTCATTCCTGTGGCTATAAATCATCTATGTATCCATTCTCGGATTTATATCCAGTTTGACCTTTTCTTCTGTTCTCCCCTGAGGAAAGTTTTCTGTAATCCAGAAAAACTCAAGTCTTGAAGGATAGTTTAGGTGAATTGTATTTCCTTCTCTTTTATTGACCATATAGAACTTTAAAGTTTACAAAGTATTCTCAAATATCTAATCTCATTCTGATAGTCTCAGCAACTGAACTTGAGCTCTAAAGTTTAACTAAATGTCAACATGTAACTGGACTTTCAAAGCAGGAGTTCAGGTCTCTGTATCATCTCACTTGAAATAGAACATTTAAAATCTTTATGGTGTCTGCTTGTGCTCTGGCTGTCAGGCAATTACTTATGGTGTCAATTTTGATCCCACAGGTGGATTTGACATGGAAGTAAAAGGTTGGGGTGGAGAAGATGTTCATCTTTATCGAAAATACTTACATGGTGACCTTATTGTGATTCGGACTCCAGTTCCTGGTCTTTTCCACCTCTGGCATGAAAAACACTGTGCAGATGAGCTAACCCCTGAGCAGTACCGCATGTGCATACAGTCTAAAGCCATGAATGAGGCTTCTCATTCCCACCTGGGAATGATGGTCTTCAGAGAAGAAATAGAGATGCATCTTCATAAACAGGCATACAGGACAAACAGTGAAGCTGTTGGTTAACAAAATTGTTAATGTATAACAGTATAACCATAAACCAGCACTATTTATTTAGCCTTAATTCCAGTTCCAGATATTGTGCCTCTTCCAGAAAAGACTCATTTATTTTTCATATCCTTTCCGACATTATGTTGGCAGTTCAACTTGATAGAAGAAGAAAAACAAGTGTTTCAATGCAAAGCCTATTTGAGAATACTGCACTATGGAATAGTAGACAAAATGAAATCTGGTGTCTGTCCCAAAAGTAGATTTGAGTCAGTTTTCTGCCTGGTGGCCATGATCTGATTCTGTGGGATTGCATGCTGTGATTGCATCTGGTGAAGGGATAGAATATGCTAGGCACATTGCTACAGAGGAGACTGAGTGGTACAGATGTGGTGCAGGGACAGGTACTATTTCTTCACTTCACCTGCTGACCACTAAGTCAGTCGATCTGATTTTTGTTTTGTTTTTCTGTTTTTTTCATGGTACTGGGGATTGAACTCAGGGGCCCTCTACCACTGAGCTATATCCCCAACCCTTTTTATTTTTTGAGACAAGTTCTCACTAACTTGCCAAGGCTGGCTCCAACTTGAAATCCTCCTGCTCAGCCTCCTGAGTAGCTGGGATTACAGACAAATACCACCACACCCAGCAATCTGCTTCATTTTTAAAGGAAGACTATTAACTTTGGTTAATAGCTTAAAAATCCTTTTTTACTGAAGCAGATAATAATTAATTGACATATCTGAAATTCCCAACCAGTCAAGAGATGACAAAAACCAAAACCCCTTAACTTAATATGGCTTAGCCCCCAAATGTCTGTTTTTAAATAAGTGGATAATAGTAGAAAATAGTTTAGAATCTATTACTTTATTAAAAATATGTTGTTACACTATCAATATGTTGGTCAAAGTTGCTATCGACTGTTTTGAACAAATGTGGAAGCATTTTTAAAGAGCATTTAATATGTTGGAATGCAGGATACTAGCTATGTTTGATCATCAAGTTTATGTGAGTGAGAGATATCAGTGCCTTCCTGAGGAGGCTCAGGATAGATAAGCATAGCATGTGTTTTTGCTTTGTATTATCTCATTTAGCATGGATCCATATGTATTGTTATCCTTTATTTTATAATGTGTATATTTGCTATATCTGTATTTGCATAATTACAATATTTTGAATTGAAAGAGAATTTCTGAGGGGAGAAAAAAGCAATTGAATGAGGTATATACAATAAGACCAATCTGATTTGAGAAAAGGGAAGAAGGGGAAGGTAGTTTGAATAAAAATCTGAATTACAAACTATTTTAGAGAAATATATACTTATAGATAGAATATTTTAATTGAAGTATATATTATATTAATGAGACAAGATGAATAAGAAATTATATTCACATAGGACTATACTACATTATTTATCACACATGGATCTTTTGCCATTAGGTCAATTGCTAGATCCAGAAATTAGAAGGTTAAAGGCAATGCATAAACTTTTTTATCCTTTGACTTTTAAAAGGGACCTACTATTTGTATACAAACCCCTGAAAATTCATAGAAGAAAAATTATTATTCATTTTGCTCTGTAAGTCATATTATCTGAAATATTACAAATTCCAAATTTCTAGGTGCTACATGAATTAAATTTTACAGTAACTTAACTAATTATTTTTACAGATTTTAAGTTGGGGTAATGTTAGGTATTTTTAAAGATGTGTAAAATGTCCTCTGAAAAATTAATTCAGGCTATTGTCCCTTTTGTATGCAGTTATTTATTATGAAGACCAGTAAATTATGGCATTTAAAATGAGAGAACTTATTTGTAATGGTAAGTTGCAGCTTGTTTTTTGAGGAAATCAAGTTATTTTACTTTTACTCCTATTTTTTAAAACTCTCTTCTAATTTAAAAATAGAAAGGATAGAAAGTAAGCAGTAGAAACATTACTGTTTTGACATTAAAATGGTACCAATAAAATATTTTATTACCAAAAGTTAAATGAAAATTATTTCTAGTGTAAGATGTCACAAATACAGAAAAGTATATAATATGCAATTGTGTATAAAGAACAATGAAGCAAACAGCAATATATGCCACCTGGGTAAAGATACAGGATATTACCAATGACAGGCCCCTGTGGCCCTTCTAGAGCACATATCCTTACCCTTTCCACAATAGTCACCATCTGATTTTTCTGATAATTTCCACTTGATTTTTTTTTTGTCATAGTTCTTCCAACAGTGTACATATCTCTATTTAGAATTCTGTTTAATTTTCCTTTTTAAAGTTTTTTATATATTATTTCATACTATATTCTTTTAGTATTATGTTTTGAGATTCACCATATTAACCTCAAAACTGGTTCATTTTTATTACAGAATAATATTTTATTGTATGAATACACTACAATATTTATTAATTGTTCTATTTTACTGATAGATACTTGGATTTTTTTCTAATTATTTGTTGTTATTCTATTGTTGGTAGTTTTTTGGGTTGTATATAGTTTTTTGTGGCTTGTTTGCTTTGTTCTTAGAAGCAGTGGTGTCTACATGCTTCTCACAAGCTAGTAGTATTTCTCTAGAAGTAAAAATGCTGAGTCATTGGGTGGGTACATGTTTAACTTACTTTCCAAAGTGGATCACCTTCCAGTACTGGGAAAATTTACTTTTCATGCTTGGTAATACTCATTATCAATAGTAATTCTTGCCGACCTAGTGAGCTTTAGGCATGAGTTGTAGTTATAATTTGTATTTCCAGTGTTTTTGCCCATTTTTACCAGCTCATAGAAATTCTTCATATTCTAGATACCAATTTTTCTTGATTAAATATTTAACCTAATCAAGATGATTATCTTCTCCCAGGATGTGGCTTCTCTTTTTCCATTCTTGATAGTACTTTTTTTTTTAGTTGTTGATGGATCTTTATTTTATTCATTTATTTATATGCAGTGCTAAGAATCGAACTCATTGCCTCACACATACACATGTGAGTTAAGCACTGTACCACTGAGCCACAACCCCAGCCCTTGATTGTACTTTTTGATGAGTAAAAATTAACTTCAATTTGACTAGTCTTTTTTCCTTTATGATTTCTACTTTAACGAACTTTGTTTTTTAGAGAAGTTTTAAGTTCATAGCAAAATTGAACAGAAAGTACAGAGCGTTACCATTCAGTAGTCCCACCTTATCTACAGTTTTACTCTTTGCAGTTTGGGTTACCTGTGGTCAGCTGATCCAAAAATATTAAATGGAAAATTCTAGAAATAAGCAATTTAGAAGTTTTAAATTATGAACTATTCTGAACAGTATGATGAATATTCTGAGCAGTGTGATGAAATCACATGCCATCCTACTCCATCCTGCCTGGAATATGAATCATCCCTTTGTCCTGCATATTGATACTATGTAGTACCCATCTAGTTATCAGATCCACTGGCATGGTATCACAGTGTTTGTGTTGAACTTAGAAGGTCAGTAGTAGCCTAACCCCATGTCCCAGTATCTATGTCATTTTATCACATAGGCATTGTATCATTTTACATCTTAAGAAAGGTAAATATAGCACAACAAGATATTCTGAGAGAGGGACTGGGGTAGTTTGGATATGAGCTGTACCCCCAAAAGCTTCTATGTTAATGCAGGAATGTTCAAAGGTAAAATTACTGAATTATAAGAGCTGTAACCTAATCAAGCCATCTTAGTTTGAATGGACTGGATAGTAAATACGCAGGTAGGGCATATCTGGAAGAGGTGGGTCACTGGGAAAGGGCCCAAGAAGGATATATCTTGCCTAAAGCCCAGCTTCTCTGCTTCCTGGAGGCCATAAATGAAGCATCACTCTTCCACCATGATATTCTGCCACACTTTGGGCACAAATCAATGAAGTTGATCCACCATGGACTGAACCTCTGATATTTTGTGAGCCAAAACAAACTTTTCCTCCTCTAAGTTGTTGTCAGGCATTTTGGTCACAGCAATGAAAAACCTAACAGAAATTTGTATGGAGAAGTAGGGTTGTAGCTATAACTGACTTCACCATTTGGTTCAGAAGCCTTTAGAGCTTGCAGGAGGAATTTGGAAAAGTTTAGAGATGCAACCAGAGAAGCTTTAGAATAATGTAAGGAGAGCTTAATGGGAGATTCTTGGAAAACTTGGAATAGCCAGAATGCCAATAGGAATGCAACTGTGCTCATGAGATTTCAGAGAGAAATGAAGATTCTATAGGGAATTGAACTAGAGGCCACTCGTGTCACATTCTGTCAAAGAACTTGTCTACAATTTGCCCATGTCCTGACTTTGAGACTATATTTAAAGGTGATGGACTAATTAATCTAGCAGAAGAAATTTCAAGCCAGCAGTGTTTGATCAGTGGCATGGATATTGCTGGCAACTTTTACTCAGATTTACTGTGAAAATTGGGAGCAAAAAACAGAACTAAAAGATTTTAAAAGCTTACAATTTGACCAGAGAAGTGCTGGTAAAACTGGAGCCAAGAGAGATGTGCTTGTTGAAAAAATTATAGACCCTAAAGAGATACTAAGTACTTTCACAGAGACAATAGGAAAGATAGCTTGAGGGCATCTCAGGATTTTGCAAGACCACACCTTATTGCAGGCTCAAGTATGTAGAAAGGAAAATTCCTTGAAGAAGAGATCATGGGGATGCCTTGTTTGCACATGAGGGCCTAGGAAGTTGTTTCACCATACTCAGCTGGCCAAATTCTCACAGGCTACTACAGCTGTGATCCCTGAGAGCTCAGCTACTACATGAATGGCAGCAGACCTTGGCATAATCCACATGGTGCTGTTTCTGCACAAATTCAGGGTCAGGAAAGCTCCCACTGAGATTTTAAAGGAAGGTCTGAGAGGCCAGGTAAAGTTTAGCAGGATTGGAATCCCTGCAGGCTGGCCCTGAGAAGACAATGCATGATGCTGTGAAGTTGAAGCCATAGCGGAAATGGAGACCCCAAGAATTTAGAGATGCCAGTAATGTGGGCTGTCTGAAAAGAAAAGTTGCTGGCTGTGGAGAGAGCCAACCTAAAATAAAGCCCATGTGTGCTGCAACCAGGAAAGTCAAAGGGCAGAGCTGCCCAAGCTCTTTGGAAAGAACATCTCACAGCCATGTGTCCTAAATGCTGTACAAGGAGTTACAGTGGAGTTACAGGACCTGTTTGTCCAATTTGGTTTTGGTCTTGCTTTGGCCCCATTTCTTTTTTCTTTTCTTTTCTTTTTTCTTTTTTTTTTT